GGGAGTCTGCTTTTCCCTCTGACCCTCCCCCCTCTCATGTGCTCTCTCTCATTCTCTCTCTCTCAAATAAATAAATAAAAAAATCTTTAAAAAAAAAAAAAAGTCATTGACCTATTTCTAATTGCTCAGGCTTGAGTTCTCATTCATCTGAAAATAGTCTCTGGTGATCCTGAATCTTCTGCTTCTGGATGGCTGACCATGATTCAGAGAGGCTGGCCAGATGGTGGGAATGAGGGGCTTCCTGCTGCCTTGGCCTTCTTGAACAGAGGATCCTTATGCATCAAGCACCCGGCTTTCTAAACAGACAGCTCATAAATGCAGCAGACCTTGCACTAAAAAGCTGGGTACTAAAACCTCATGCTCAGAAAACACAAGGGAAAACAGATCTCTTTTCCTGCGGAGCCTACTCAAACCCCAGAAAATGCTTTAAGGAACATTCAGAAATAAATTAGTTATGTATGTTTTATGTCCTAAGTTTTCAAACTTAGTATCAGCAGAACTTCATTATTAAAATATGATAGTGAAGTGCTCAAGCTGGGAAGTTTGAGTAGGAGTGTGTTTAGAGATCAGCTGCCCTCGTGTCCTGTGCTGGTTTCCAGAGAGCTGGTGAAAGAGCCTTAGAGTTCCAAAGAATGTGGTTTCAAAACTCTCTTTTAGATTACTAAATAGTATTTTTCTCTGACCTCTTTTTTGATAAAGATACTTTTAGGAGACTTACTTTTTCAGTTTCATTTTAATTTTACATTTCTTATTTTTCTGATTACATCTACAATAATATATATTCCTTATTAAAGAAAACTCAAACATTACAAAAATATGTAATGTACAAAATGCATCCACTCCATCATCTATGGGAAGAGTAAACTTCCCCCATAATTCTAACCCCTGACACTTAAACAGTATATAAACAGTTCAGATTATATTCCTCCACATATTTTCTCTGCACCTACTAACATTTTTAAAGCAAAAACCAAAATTAAACAATACATATTTTGTAACTTGCTTTTTTTCATATTGGATCTTGAATATCTTTTCATGTTCTGGCCTTACATGTTCATAGAGCTTTTAATTTTAATTATAATACCATAAAAAGGTACCCAGGAATTCTTAAAAATTTAAAAAAAAAAAAGAGTTTCTTTCCTAGCAGTAAATTCCATGGTCTCTCTTCTTGTTGATCTAATGGAGGCATCCAGTCATCACTCTTTTAGTTTAGCAGACCACCTGCCCTAACAGGCTTGCAGGTTACTAAGCTCAGTCAGCAGGGGTGCTCTTTAGACCAGACTCCATTCTCAGAATCCTCTGACTTCAGATCTTTCTCCTATCCTTCTTTTCTGTGTTTCATTTCCAGTATCACATTTATAGTGATTAGGAGATCTCATAGATGGGCTAAGAGTGAAGCAGTATAAATATTGTAGCCACAGAGGTACTACTCACAGTCTGCTCATTGAGTTATCAAAACCTGTGTCCAACATTCTCTGTGTCACCAGGCCAGATGGGTTCCTGTTTTCTTCTGTTTCCTTTAGGGTGATAACATTCATTTAATAAAAATGTGTTGATTACCTGCCAGCTACTATGCTGAATGTGATGCCTGAATACAAGGGTGGCTAAATCAAAGCCTAAACCCTCACAGACCTCAGTGTGTAGTGCATTTAGGACAGGTACGGACGGAGGCTTTGCCTCCAGGGGAGGAAGCATGGCAAGCTGTGTGGTTTCAAAGGCCTTCCATCTTGGCACAGAAAAGGAAGAAGGCAGTGCCAGTTATGACAACAGTGTCTAACGTCTCCTTCCCCTGTCAGGCATTACCAGCTTCCTTATCCACCCGAGGTAAGAGCTTCCCTGTCTTACCCTTATTAGAAGCCACATTACATTGTGGCTCTGAAAACATGAGTGCTAGAGTTTAAAGAGTTGAGGCTGGAAACATGTTTTTGGCGGAAAAGCAGAGCCAGACAAACTTACATCCCCCATACCACTGCCTTTTATGTCCCGACTCTCTAGCACTCTATGAAATGGGGCTAAACACCTGTTAATGATGCACTGAAGTAAAGCATTTAAAGTCTATTAGACTGATGCAGTTAGTCCTCAGGAATTATGTTTGTATTTTATCTACTTCACCCTCCCCCTGCAACAGAGACCTCCATGTAGGTCCCCAAGGTAAGCTACTGAAAAAAAGTCCTGGGTTCTTTGGGAAAAAACTGCCAGATTGCCACCCATTCCCCTACTTCTATATGTTGCATAGGAACTTACCCTAGATCCTCTAAAAAAAGAGTGCTTCCAAGATGAGAATATTATCCAATGTATTATCCTCAAATCCCAGTCTTCCCTCTTAGGAAACGTGAGCTGGTGACTCTTTACCTTCCACTTTAATACTAATGCTCTAGCAGGGAAAATAGATCCAAATGACCAGAGATGGATTTTGCTTTACCTTCAATCCAAATTTATTCAACCGTGATTGATGAAACTATTTTGACATTTATTTATTTGCAAGTGACTAATTTTGATTATTCATGCAGCCAAGTTTCAGAAGATGAATTTGAAATTCAGGGTATAAATGGTTAACTTAGTTTTTCTAATCTTGTTCAGAGTGTTTGATTTATATCTTTATCATACCAAAAAGAACAGGATTTCTAAATTAAAATAGTCATGGGTGCAAAGCAGTAAATATAAATGAGTAAAGCAGGCTGGAAGTAACATGTAGACTTTTATTTTTCAATTTTCAGTGGGAGCCCAAGTAAAGAGATATCCCACTTTTATTCTTAATTTCTCTTTGAAATAGTAAGACAAGCATGATAAAATTGACAGTTTGGCCTTGGTGTCAACAAGACCAAAGAAGGTGGAAGAGACTGTGGTAAGCCAGAAAGTAATATATGCCATCTCAAGGAAGCAACTACTTCTTGACAATAGCCAATTTTTTTTATCATATGGAAACTTTTCCTTTAAGAAAGGCCAAAAATCCAGATATTTTGAGAAATCACCTAGTTTTAAAAATACTGATAACTGTTTAAACACCATGTAGGCAAAAAATAGCAATTGCAGGGCAGCTTCACCTCTGGATAAATGGTTTCTAATGTCTGACAAAGACCAAACCAAGCTAAAAGCTTACTTGTTTTTGTTTGTTTGTTTCCCTTTTTTTTTTCACTTGGGTGAAATTCATACCACATAAAATTAACCATGTTGAAATGAAGAATTCAGTGGCATTTAGTACATTTACAATGTTGTGCAACCACCACCTCTGTCTAGTTCCAAAACATTTTCATTACTCCAAAATAAAACCCAGTATCTCTTAAGTAATTACTCCATTTGCTCTTCTCCCTGCCTCTGGCAGCCACAAATCTACTTTTTGTATCTATAGATTTACCTATTCTGGATATTTCATATAGATGGAATCATATAATGTGTTGCCTTTTGTGTCTGGCTTCTTTTAATTAGCATGGTATTTTCCAGATTCATCCACATCCTAACATGTATCAGTACTTCATTTCTTTTTAATGGCTGAATAATAGTCCACTGTATATATACCACAACTTGTTTATCCATTCATCCATTGATGGACATTTGGGCTATTTCTACCTTTTGGCTATTGGGAATAATGCTGCTATGAATATTCATGTACAAATATTTGTTTGAATATCTGTTTTCTAGTCCCTGGGGGTCTATACCTAAGTGGAATTGCTGGATCATGTTAACAGTTCCATGTTTAACTTTTTAAGGAACTGCCAAACTGTTTCCAGAGCAGCTGAATCCTTTTCCATTCCCACCAGCAATGTATGAGCATGCCATTTTCTCTGCATCCTTGGTAATACTTATTATTATTTTCTTTTTAAAAATTACAGCTATCCAGGGCACCTGGCTGGCTCAGTCGTTAAGCATCTGCCTTCAGCTCAGGTCATGATCTCAGGGTCCTGGGATCGAGCCCTGCGTCGGGCTCCCTGCTCCACGGGAAGCCTGCTTCTCTCTCTCTCCCGCTCCCCCTGCTTGTGTTCCCTCTCTCACTGTGTCTCTCTCTGTCAAATAAATAAAATCTTAAAAAAAAATTATAGCCATCCTAGTGGGTATGAAGTGGTATTGCATTGTGGTTTTGATTTGCATTTCATTAATTATTAAAATTGTTGGACATCTTGTGCTTGTTGGCCATTTGTATATTTTCTTTAGAGAAACATCCAAGTTCTTTGCCAATTTCTATGTTAGGTTGTTTGTCTTTTTGTTGTTGAGTTGTAAGGGTTCTTTGTATAATCTGAATACTAGACTCTTATCAGATTTGCAGGTATTTTTTTCCTCCCATTCTGTAGGTTGTCTTTTCACTTTTTTTTTTTCTGGAAGCCTGTACTTTCCTCATTATATGGGTAGTGTCCTTTGATACACAAAACTATTTAATTTTTTTTTTAAAGATTTTATTTTTAAGTAATCTCTACA